ACTTATATATATAAATGATGACAGCTGTCAGCATACTACTATTAATACTTCCACTATTATCTTTGCATGACGATACTTTTATCAACACCTCCTCAAAAATACCTATTCTTTTAAAAATGGCTAATGAATCGATTTGCAATGCGAAAAATTGGTTTACCGCCAACTCCATGCAATCAAATGATCTTGTCTAGTATCTTGTCCTTCTCATACACATGCTCACAATACAGTATAATTGTATAACCGGAAATGTGGAAATTTTGTTTATTTTTGATGCAAAACTACAGTTGTACAGCAAGCAATATGATGCATTATTAAGATAAGGCAGTTAATCAACGGTCAATTTACAGCTACGTTGAAATCCTTTATCTTATTTACAAACTACCGGTCAAAACTTGAAAAACTTCAATCTGATAAAGTTAATCCAAAACATTAGCTCTATCGTTTTTAATACTTGTAGGTACTTTGGTTCGTGATAGTAGAAAGTAATGAATGCTAATTATAAATGCAAAACGCTAACAGGGTGCTAAAAGTTGTGTGATTTCGTTATGATTTGCCACAGCCAATATAAAAAGGTTTATAACGCTTTACCGGGTCCATCCTATTTTGTATCATAAACGGGTCGCAAAAGAATATTTTATGTGCGTTAGGGTCGTTTCATAGCTACTGGGGTTCGCGTTTGGGTACTCAATGAAAAATACTTGTTAATACGAATAAATATGTTTATTTACAATTATTATTGTTAATTTAAAAAATTTACATAATGCTATGCTCATTTGACAATACATTAGGTATAAGCAAAAATGACGGTGTAGTATTTCATTAGTTTGGACTTCCATTGTCTAATTTGATATAAAATGATGATGAAATTTCTGAAAGAATCAATAAAATCAAAATGAATACCTGGAAATAACAATTATATTAAGCAACAAATAACTCCGAAATGAAATTACGATAAAATAAAATACAAGCAACAAGTTACTTCTCGACGTTTCGATTCCATATGGTTATTTCAAAAATGAATTCGGTAAACTATCTGCTTCGGAATCTGAGATCAGTTTTGACGGAAAAACAATTAATTATATTGTATCACGCACATGCCGAATCGCGCCTTAAGATATGGATTAAGCTTTTGGGGATCTTACACACATTTTAATAATGTATTCGTTTCTCAAAAACGATTGATTCGATGTATTGCTGGTGTATTCCGTAGCATACTATTTTAAAAAATTCAATATTTTATCGCTACCATGTTTGTATATTTTTGAAGTATGTTCTTATGTTTATTGTAATTTGAATGGATTCAGAACAAATAATCAGGTTCATGGTTTCAATACTAGAAATCGAAATGATCTTCGTGTACCATTTTCTAAGAATAATATTCAGTTTAAGTCTCCTCTCGTATTGGGACAAAGATTTTTCAATAAACTCCCAGCGAACATAAAAACGTGCTCAACTATAAATGGTTTTAAGAAATTATTGAAGGACTTTTTATTATCCCATTGTTTTTATTCAGTGGACGATTACTTAAAAACAAATAGGTGACTTTAATTCTTTTTTATTGTGCAACTGTAAATTTTGTATTGCCTGTTTAGTTATGTAATTTAGATCTAAGATTTGACTAATTCTATACAAACTTCTGTTTG